GGGCTTAGCTTGACCCTGGATTCAGAGGGACAGGAGGTGGAAAGGAGTGGAGGAGGGTTGCGTCGAGTCACCTGAAATGACAGCTGTCAGAGGGGAGAGCAGATTTAAAAGGGTTAGCGGAGCGCTATGATAGGCTTGTGAGAATAGAGCGAAGGGATTGGTTAAGCTGGGGAGTGACGCCCCCGATCACTTATTGAGAGGAGAGAGAGTAGTAACATGGAAATAATTAATGAATGAGTAAAGACGGTTGAACTTGTGCTGAACTTCATTAGTATATTTAGTATTATGATCCTTTTAAATGATATTAACACTGTGCTTTCTGTCTCTAGCTGGCCAAGAAATACAACATGGTAATTATTTCTCCGATTCTGGAGCGAGATGCTCGGCACAGCACCCTGTGGAACACCGCCGTGGTGATCTCTAACACCGGGAACGTCCTGGGAAAGACCCGGAAGAACCACATTCCCAGGATCGGAGACTTTAATGAGGTCAGTGTGGGAATTTTGATTTATTTTACACATTTTATAGTATTTTATAGATATGACTTTTACATATTTTCCATATGTTTTATTCAGTTTCTATGCAGCTTTATTTTGATTCAGTCATATATTGTACTTAATTTGATAGTATTTTCCTAATATGTTAATGTTTGTATTTTATACTAGCTATATTTTTACATATATACATACACTATACTGTATATTACCCATACAAAAGCTAATATCTTTATTTCATATATATTTTACACATTTTATATAATTTTTCTTATTTTATTGTTAATTATTTTTATAAAGCTTTCATTTTGATGGATATATAGTGTTCATAGTTTTATTATTTGTATTGCACTTCTCTTCTATACAGCTTTCATTTGAACTCAGATGTATTTAACCTTTTTACAGAGCATTTTAAAATATATGTATGTACTATTTTCTTCAATAATCCCCCGAAGCAAGTTTCTTGTATGTAAAAAAAACGTGCTGAGACTTATACAAATAAATGTAATGTTCACTGTGTTTCTTTCCCCCCTCAGTCCACGTACTACATGGAGGGCGACAGCGGACACACGGTGTTTCAGACGCAGTTCGGGAACATCGCCGTGAATATCTGCTATGGCCGCCATCACCCTCTCAACTGGTTCATGTTCAGCATGAACGGAGCGGAGATCATCTTCAACCCGTCAGCTACTGTCGGAGCGCTCAGGTACAATACTCAGTACTGTTAATAGATATTCAGCCCATTGTCAGGTTCATATTAGTGTATTTAGAGGGTTTTCACAGGAATTCATCTTTAAAAAAGCAATTTGAAGGTAGCAGAGTGGACCATGGACCTTTGCTTCATCACATCTGTCTCGATCTCCCTTTCAATTAAGGGAAAAACCTGCTTAAAAACAAGTATTTGGGATTGCATCAGATGTATTTATTTTCTTTATCAGTGCAAATGTGTCTTTTGCTTCTCCAAGTACAGCAAAGTTACATTAAAGGGACCTATAAAGCTACCTGGCCTCTACTGGGACATGTCTCCATGCTTTAATGTTCAAAAAGCTCTTTATCTTTCTCATACTGCCTGTGCTGCAGCACCTCTTTTCACCCTCTGTCTGAAACCAGAGCCCAGTCTGCTCTGATTGGTTAGCTGGCCGGCTCTGTTGTGATTGATCAACCGATTAGAGTTGTCCCGCCCCCTTAGCCTATCAAGTACAATGTGTTGGAGCGCTAGCCAATAGAAGCACGAGTGTTACACAGGGATGTTGTGTCCTTTGCAGACCATTTACATGCACTAAAACATATAAAACACACTACAGGAAATGGAAAACCCCAAGAAGCAGAATAGGACCTCTTATATTATCTCTTGTCTGTTGATGACGCCCACAATATTATTTTTTGGTGACACCTGGAATATTTTTGACATCCTCCTGGATTCCTCTTACAAATAAATATACAGTCACATTATCGTTTTGTCGGAAGAAGTACATTCTCCCCATGCTTGAATATAATGTATTTTCTTTTGGTCCTCAGTGAGCCCATGTGGTCGATCGAGGCGAGGAACGCAGCGATCGCTAACCACTGCTTCACCTGCGCTATAAACAGAGTGGGGACGGTGAGTTAGTCTCAGTATCTGCAAACATATACATTTAAATTAGAGATGATCAGGTAAATGCATACAAAATAAAGAACAATGTCTTTGGTCACCACCGCTGATTGAAAGTGAAATTATGTGCATTGTTGTTTTTCCATGCAGGAAACTTTCAAAAGTGAATTTACATCTGGTGATGGAAAAAAAGGTGAGAGATTTGACATCCAGCTGGATTCATCTTCTTCTTATGTATAGACACATGCATGTTCTAGCATTTGGATTTCTATGTTGTAATGTATTATCTTTTTAATTCACATACGACATCTATTGCCCGTCTGTCCGTCCTGGGAGAGAATTCAAGATTCAAAGATTCAAAGGTGTTATTGTCATATGCACAAAGCTACAGTGTAGAAATGGCAATGAAATTATTCTGACCCGAGCTCCTCCAACAATCCAACATATATAATAAAATACAAAATACAAAAGCTTATCCTCCTCTGTTGCTCTCCCCAAGGTTTTATAAAATGTTTTCCACGTTAACCATGGGGTTCTTTCGTTAACCGTGGGGTTCTTTCGTTAACCGTGGGGTTCTTTCGTTAACCGTGGGGTTTCTTTCGTTAACCGAGGGGGTTCTTTCGTTAACCGTGGGGTTTCTTTCGTTAACCTCGGGGTTTCTTCCGTTAACCGTGGGGTTCTTTCGTTAACCGTGGGGTTTCTTTCGTTAACCGTGGGGTTTCTTCCGTTAACCGTGAGGTTATTTAGTTAACCGAGGGGATCTTTTTCGTTAACCGTGGGTATTTTTCCGTTAACCGTGGTGTTCTTCCGTTAACCGTGGGGTTTCTTCCGTTAACCATGGGGTTTCTTCCGTTAACCGTGGGGTTCTTTCGTTAACCGCGGGGTTTCTTCCGTTAACGGTGGGGTTCTTTCGTTAATTGAGGGGGTTCTTTCGTTAACCAAGGGGTTCTTCCGTTAACCGTGGGGTTTCTTCCATTAACCGTGGGGTTCTTTCGTTAACACGGTTAACGAAAGAAACCCCACAATTAACGAAAGACCCCCACGGTTAACAAAAGAACCCCACGGTTAACGGAAGAAACCCCTCGGTTAACGGAAGAAACCCCACGGTTAACGGAAGAAACCCCACGGTTAATGAAATAACCCCACGGTTAACTAAAGATCCCCTCGGTTAACGAAAGAACCCCACGGTTAACGGAAGAAACCCCACGGTTAACGGAAGAAACCCCATGGTTAACGGAAGAAAC